AATTTTCATACGATTTTTCAGCACGATAAACTTACCGGTATTACAGCCACTGTACACACAAAAATTCGAGGACACCTATATGAGTGTATAATATACAAACAGTTCAGCTTACATCTTCTTCGTTGCCCAAAGGTCACCCCACCAGTCGAACCATTGCCTATCCTCATCTTCCGGATCACTCATAGCGGCCTTCTGTAAAGTAATCTTCACTTCACCATCGTCCACCTCCCAAGACGACTTCCCAGGCACAACCTTGCCGCTCAACTCACCTAACACGATGAATCGTCACATTCGTCACGCGCCACGAAATTCCAATCCTTACCATCGAGACCCTCAGCTGAGCCCTTGATACGAACCGTGAGATGATTCGGTCGGATGGTGACCCGAACATCATCCTCACGCACGTCGTCATCAATCTCCATCGCCACCGTCACCTAAAATCATTTTCACCTCAGTTCATGACCACGGCCGATCCTCTACTTTGTTTTTCATCTGGCGAAATCGATAGTTGTCTCTGTAAGTGTTGCTATCCAGTGCATTAATATCCTCAGACCTCTTCACCATAGGAGCCACTGCTCTGTCCGACTCCTTATGTTCTTCATCATTATTATCATCATCATCACTATCGTCCACGGCTTCTAGATCGTAATAACCTGATTCAAGTGAACACCAATGTAGACAAACTTCCTATAATAACAACAATAATAACAACAATAACAACAATAATAACAATAACAACAATAACAACAATAATAACAACAATAACAACAATAACAACAATAACAACAATAATAACAATAACAACAATAACAACAACAATAACAACAATAACAACAATGATAACAACAATAATAACAACAATAACAACAATAATAACAATAACAACAATAACAACAATGATAACAACAATAATAACAACAATAACAACAATAATAACAATAACAACAATAACAACAATAATAACAACAATAACAACAATAACAACAATAATAACAATAACAACAATAACAACAACAATAACAACAACAATAACAACAATAACAACAATAATAACAATAACAACAATAATAACAATAGCAACAATAACAACAATAACAACAATAACAACAACGGACGAGTTGTACGAATATAAATAGAAATGGAAGTGGCTTCAAATATGAATATCAAAGTCCGCATGGAACCCTCGATGGTGATACGACCAATGAAAACTGTCACCGGCACATCGCTATTATACAGTTCGTCCCTGTATCACACCAACTCTGTCTTCTCATTGAATCTAGTATTCACACATCCGCGATTTTCACTCCCCATTTAAATTAAAGGGGACGTGCAAATCGCGCAATTTTACCCGTGATATAAAAAAATATTTCACGACTACTGCATATCACCGCGAATATCGCGTTTTTCACCGTGTTTTACGCCGCCACTTCACATAAAACGGGTTGTGAAACTCCATCGACTTAATCGTCACCTTCTGGTAGATCGGCCAACGGGTCCGCTGCCTTTTCCAACGCCTCCTTCGCCTCTTCCTCAAGACGAGCCTTCACCTTATGCGCTGTCTGAATCCACTCCGCACTGGGACGAATATCTGCTATTTCAAAATCCTCCCTGAAAAGAAAAATGGTAAACAAAAATCGCTTCGCTCCGCCTACCTCCACCAGTGATCGCCATCGCTAAACACTCTGCTGATGAAAACGTCACCTCGGATGGACTGTCGAGGACAACCACAAATCGCCGCAATGCCACCAGCACGACTGAAGTGAAGGTGCAGATGAGGTTGCGTTTGAGCATATGATATTACCAACTATCAGTGGGGGAAAATACGCGTATGGTCAACTACATGTGTCGGCGAAAATACTGAAATTCTGAGGAAATTTTGGAAAATTCTCGTTGGTTTCCGAATACAAACTCCCATAATTATTGAGGAAACTCCTGAGCTCAGCTGAGTGACACCAACATCTATTCCTCCAACACTGGAGTTTCACCCGTTCTACGTGAAGTTGCGTAAAACTCGATACTCGCGGTGGTATGCAGTAGTCGTGAAATATATTTTTCTTTAGTGTTTCTCATATCACTGATGATCTCACCCGTTTTCCTTCAACCCAACTTCGCCAGCATTATCATCCACATACATCTGCACCCCAATATGATCACTTTCAGCAGCTGCGAATGCCAGAGGGATTATACGCAGTTTCGGAACAGTCTAAAACCATAGAACAGTGTCAGGGGAAAAATATGCACATGGTCAACTACATGTAAAATTTTTGAGGAAATTGCGGAAAATTCGTATTGGTTGCCCTACATTTCTACCCGATTTCGTATATAAACTCCTATAATCAGCGAGGAAACTCCTTCGAGTTCAGTTGAGGAAAGCGAACATATATTCCAACGACACCGTCGTAGACAGCGGAAATTCTTGATTTTGGAATTTGTCATATGAGCCCACACGGGGGTTACTAGTGCGGCCAAGCAACTGCAGACTGTCATAGCATTGAAATTTCACCCGTTTCACGTGAAGTGGCGCAATACTCCATGTGAAAAACACGATATCGGCGATATGAAGTGAATGTAAAAACACACTTCGTGAACCACGCCAAGTACAAATCACATCCTTTCATGTGTTTTACGCGTTATTCGCTGCTCACATACGTTTTCCGCGAAGTGAATTGTGAAATAAGATTTTCACTACTGTTTTTCATATTACTAGGGTGAAACTCCAATACTATCTACACAGTGCGTGCATATGTGTGTTATTTTCAGGAGATTAATGAGAATCAATCTGATTGGAGTTCCACCCATTTTATGTGAAGTGGCGTAGCACCATGTGAAAAACGCGATATTCGCGGTGATATGCAATAGTCGTGAAATATATTTTGCACTACTGTTTTTCGTATCACTAGGGTGAAGCTCCAATATAACAAGGCCTATGAACATGTGTTGTTATCAAGGTACCCATCTGGGGCTGCGATAGCGACAACCTGTTCACTATAATGCGTCCTCCAAAATAACACACATTTACATATCAAATTCACACGGACTGTTTATATATCAGAGTTTCGCCATAGTGATATGAAAAACACCAGAGAATAACATATTTCGCGACTTACGCATAGCGCCGCAAATATCGCGTTTTTCACCAAGTTTTACGCGTTAAACTCCATTAAATTAAGATTTCAGCGATTAACATTCCAATACCACTCCGATCAAAACTTCTCTTCTCACCTTAACCGCTGTTTCCATCAACTCGTTAGTATCAATCTTAGCCTCACCACAGAGATGGGCCATGAGGGCATCCCTAACATCGCACAAGTCAACCAGGAACCGACATTTCACACAATGGAGTTTCACCCTTGAAGTGGTGTAATACTCTGTGAAAAACGCGATATTCGCGGTGATATGCAGTAGTCGTGGGATATGTTTATCACTACTGTTCTACATATCACTAGGGTGAAACTCCAGTAAAATTTACGATACGAAATGTAATTGTTCATATTTTTTTCAATTTCAGCGGGCGAGTGAATGTGAGTAAATACATATCACCACGAATATCGCGTTATTTACCAAGATTTACGTCACTCCGCGTAAAACGGGTGAAATTCTAATAATTTCCAAAAATGTTCTCAGAATTCTCATATCATCAACAACACGTGTAGTTGACCATGTGCATATTTTTCCACACCGTTAAATATATTGGGCTCAGCTGAAGTCGCTGAAGAACTAGTAGTGCAGCACATGTAGTTGACAATGTGCATATTCCTCCCCCCTACCCCTCCACACTCACTTGTCGATCACAACATCCGTGTGTTTCTGATGGAATTTCTCCTTAA